GGATGGTGTTGGTGCTGGTGGCCACGTGTACGATGCATTTCATTCCTGACTGTCTACGCCTACTGGCGATATGTCACTTTCCTCCGTTTGCAGAACCGTCCGTTGTCGTCCCTTTAGAGCAATGACGAGGCCCTCCGGGCCTAAAATATGAAATTTTTTAACATTTATTTACCTATGTTCCTGACACCCACCTCCCGATTAGTAGTGCCACTTCCGTGACAGACAGCGGGCTTCTGTTACAAATACGCTCTGCGCACTGACGTGAGTGTCGTGAAGAAAACATAACAAACACGTTACTAGCGAGTATGGCGAGCAGGAAAAAGTGCGCGCGACTGTTTGTTGCTTTTTCCATCACATGCATGTTTTGGCATCCCACTGTCGCAGTTATAGACGAAAGCAGTTGTTCAATGACGTTTGCTTTCATGATGCAGGCTCAATTTTTCTCATACCTGTCCACCAAAACTTACTGCCGTAAAGTTCAGAATATTTATCTTCGAGCAAGGATTTAAGCCGCCTGCTTCACCTACGTCTAGTTAGGGGGCGACGAAAGACGAATGACACCCTCTTATGAAAAAAAGAAGTTAGTATATCTCAATTTGTTACCCGTTCGATCTGTAGTCAAAATGTCTTTTGAGGGCGGGAGAGAGAGAGCTAAGCTTTGTTTTGAATTTACCCTTTTAAAATGTTCAGAAAATCCTGCTCCATACACCTTCAGTACAATTAGGCATTCAAACATCGGACGACCACGAGCTATGCATACTGGCGGCAGACTGTAACATAATTGACATCATGAAGAGTCGTCCTTGAATGAGTCACAGCATGTAGGCCTAAGTGGACTTCCTTCAAAACTAGGGCTAGCGTCGTGCACTGATAATCCAATCTTTCGTAGTTCGAATAAACGAGGAGTAAAAATCGGTAGATGATGGGCGAAATAGGCCAACCGATGTACAGCTAAGAAAATAAACATCAGAATGGAAATCAGAAAAATTAGCCGTTCATTTTTCAAAAGGCCGCAAATCTTGTATGCCTCTAAGCTAGGCTCATGTAACTGCGTGTGCCTTCGATCCCGAAATCTGTGGAAATGTATTTTCTGAGAAGTAGTGTCTTTTAATTCTAGAGCCGCCTCTCATTTCTTCAGTCGCGTGCGCAGCGGGTCGAATTCATCTAACCATCCAATCTGCCCGTGCCTTCAAAAATAGGGCTAGCGTCGTGCGCTCATAATCCAATCTGTTGCAGTTTGAATAAACAAAGGACTAAAATCGGTAGGCCAACCGATGTACATCTAGGAAAATAAACATCAGAATGGAAATCAGAAAAATTTGCGGCTCAATTTCAAAAGGCCGCAAATCTTGTATACCTCTAAGCTAGGCTCATGTAACTGCGTGTACCTTCGATCCCGACATCTTTTGAAATGGCTTTTCTGAGAAGCAGTGTCTTTTAATTCTAGAGCTGTCTCTCAGTTCCGTAGTCGCGTGCGCAGCGGGTCCAATTCATCTAACCATCCTATCTGCCCGTGCCTTTCGAGTTATTGATTTCACCTGCTGTACCTCCTCCTCCTCCTCCTCCTCCTCCTCCTCATCATCATCATCATCATCATCATCATCATCATCATGAACTCTCTTTTCTCTCCTACTCACTTCCTCAGACCGCTGACTTCCGCCCACCCAGCCCGTCTTCAATAGCCTTACTACATCCTCGGACGACTGTAATACCTTTAAAATTCTCGGTGTTAAGTTCCAAAAGCCGTCGCGAATTAGGAGGAGTCGTTAATTTTTGGAACGAGTAACTAAAATGCGTATTTCTAGAGTTTATAGCCAACACATGGCGAAAATCATCCTCCCAGAGCACTCTACTTTCATTTAGAATTTAGCTTCGGTTCAAACACTTACGAAAAGAAATGCATGCTTGGTTTAGAAATAGAGTGCAGTATCGTCTAATGTGTTCTTCTCATTATTGCATCAAGAGTACGGTAACTCAGTATACCCTCTACAGTAATTCATCGACTGATGTTTTATATTGTACTCACGGTAAGGTAAAACGTGTGTACGTTCGAGAGAGAGAGAGAGAGGGGAAACACGCAGACGTCTGCACCTCAAACATCTTTAATAAAAGTGGTATGATTTGAAGGCATGAGCACTTATAGATTGCTCCAAGAATTAAACCTGAGCCTATTTGCAGGTTTTTTTTGAGCGATTTCGCAAATGTTGTAGATCTTTGAAAGGCTCGTGGATACAAGGTAATTATATTCAAATGAACAATTCACGAATCCAGCAACGCGAATGCACGAGGCATGACTGTACTGCCGTTGTTTCACAGGATGCGATTTGATTTCGGGCCACCGAATTCAGTTGTCTGCCTAGAGGTCGACACACTCCTAGTCTCCGTATCCTTCTTTTTCTTCTTCTTCTTCTTCTTCTTCTTCTTCTTCTTCTT